TCCTGCATGCCTTACTTATCTGTATGTCAAATTATTTTGCTCTGTTTGGGAAGTTTTCTGTTATTTTTTCTGTAAACAGTTTTTTTTATGTCATTTGTACTTTCTCTCTCCTGCTTTTTCATGGACTCCTATCGGTCTTATATTATTCTTCTCTGTGTCATCTAGGAGCTTTTGGATTGATTTCTCATGGTCCCTTACTGTTTTTAAACGATCTCTCTTTTCATGGTCGCTGACTGCCATCCTGTCTTCTATATCTGATATTCTGTCTTCAGATTGCCTCAGTCTGCTGTGTAGGCTTTCAATAGAGTTTGTAATCTCCTGGATATCTGTTTGAATCTCTTTCCTGGATTCCGTTTCTTTCCTATGTTAGGCATTCACGGTTTCCATCATGTATTTTTTTAATCTGTTTCTGTTCTAGAGTTTCTAATCATATCTTTCATTCTTCTCACCATTTCTGTAGTTATCTGGGAAATTATTTCTGTGTTGAATTTTTCTAGAGCCTCATTCATCTGTTTTGTTACTTCCTGTGCTATCAGTTCAGGGTATCCAAGTGTTTGATTATCAGACTTTTCTACCTCATTTCCCCCAGAATTTGCCTTTGATGGGCTGAAAGTCTGGGTTTGTGCCTTCCTTAAATGTCTTCTCATTTCTGTTTTTGTTGTTGGTACTGTCCTTGGTTTAATTCCTGGGTTGATACTTCGATATTGCTTATTGTAAGTATCTTTATTGCTTGTATTTAGAACCCTTAAGGAATGGTTGCTTCTCAGAGGTGTCTTCCACATATAGCTAGTCTTTGGGTTTTGAGTCTCTCATGACTCTGAAGCTATCTCATTTTCATTATACCAGGAAGGACTGATTCAATCAAGCACAACACCTTAGCCCAAGTGATACAATCAGCAACACAGTAGCATCAAGCAGAGCTTAGAAAATAACAATTTGTGGTAGTTACTAATCTATCACCTTTAATTGTGTGAATTAAATCAAAATCAAGGGCCAACCCAAAATATGTTTATAGTGAATAAACTCTTCAATGTAGCCACTTTACCCTTCAGGATGGGGACTCAGAAAGAGTTGAGGAGTAGTGATAGATAGGCAGAAGGATAGGGAAAGGTTAGCAGTGAAGCCACAGTACAGAGCAAGAACATGCAAACTCTAGGAAACTGTTGAAGACAAGAGAAAAAGACAGAATGAAAGAACAAAGATGAGAATAGAACAACCTAACAGCAGTAGGGAGGCTAGAAACTGTATTTACTTTCCTTTAAAGCTAATGATAATCAAGAGAAGGAAAAAGAGAAGAAAAGAAAAATAAAGAAGTAATCCAAATTAGGGCCAGAACAGGAACAAAAAGGGAGATGAAGAACAATGTGGGAGAGTGAGAGAGTGAGAGAAAGAAAAGAAAAAGAAAAAAAAAGAAAGATAAAAATTTGAAGAGTAGAAAAAATATTAAAAAAAATAAGAGAAAAATAATAATTTTGAGAATAACAAATAAAAATGAAGGGTCTCCTTCAGGGTATGTCTCTGCTGTCACAATAGACAACGTGGATAGCAGTGTGCAGATATAATTCAATTTGTCTCAGCAAGCCAGTAGCAGTCCCCTGAGATTCAGGCTGATTTCTGACTGCAAGGCCCAAGTTGAGCTCCCTGCCCTCTTGTAGGGTTGAACCCTGCAAGGTTCTACTGCAGGTTCCAGCTGCCCTTCCCATTAGACAGTCCAGGTTCTCATGGCAGGTGATGATCCCTCCAACTAACCAAGTACAGTGGTCTGGTGTGCCTTTATTGCAGAGATTCTCTTCACTTTTCCTGTGGGCTTCAATTTTCATCAAGGATCCTGAGAGAGGCCCTCTTTCTGTTGTTCACTTCTGCTCTATGCTCTGGAGCTCAGAACAATAGCTTTTATGACTCCTTGTGCCTCTGCACTGTTGAATCAGGTATTAACACAACGAGAGGCTGGGGGTGGGGCGGGGGGAGGCGCTGGTGTGGTGCTGCAAGTGCTCACGCAGCTCCACTTGGAGCTGGGAGGTGAGGTGGGGCCTCCAGGAGGCTGAAGTCCTCACCCATCTGCTTGCTCATTGCTGGGAGGTGGGGTGGGGGCTCCACTCACCTGAAGTGCTCACCTGTCTGCTCGCTTGTCACCTGCATAATATACTTATTAAACAGTGCTGGCTTTAAGATCATGTTCAGATGCTTACAATAGAAGTATGATCTGGGTACCACTGCCTTGTTAATTTCAACTTCTGTTGTTTAGTTGTCAAACCAAGATGGCAGTCTTTAGGTTGAGGATGTATCTCAATGGTGGACCACTTGCCTAGCAAGCGCAAGGCCCTGAGTTCATCCCCAGCAGCACAAAGATAAAAAAGGGGTATAGTCTTAACTGTCTGACTGATCTGGAGCCCCTCTATACACCAGCTTTATGATGCTGAAGTTTCATTATTCCTAACTGACAAGATATAACAAATGTAAAGCATACACTGCTTAAAATTTAATTCTCCCAAGTACATTATAACCATGCTAACCATGCCCATCCACTTTCAGTTACTCTTTTTTTGTTGTTGAAAAGAGCAGTATGGATGCAACTTAAAAATATAATGTTAAGTGAAATAAATCAGACCCATAAGCTTAAATACAATATGGTTTCTTCATGTGAAAAACCCAAAGTATAAATAAAGACCAAAATAAAAGACAGATAAAAATAAGTAGAAACATAAATCTTTTGCAAATGGGAAGGGGACCAAGAAATGGGGTGTCATGGAAAGAGTTGAGATGTGTAATATACATCTACCAACTACCCACAATGAGTGTAAACATTATGTATCACAAAGATGAACTAAATAAATGAAACAAAAATGTGGGAAGGGGGTTTGGACACAGAGATAGGGCCGAGATAGGGGGAGAGAAGGGGAATAAAAAGAATTAAGATATGCTGAGTACATGTACCTAATAAACAAAAATAAATACAAAAAGAGCAGATAATTGATGATAGTTCAGATGTGGCAGCGACCTTACTATTAAATGCACAATCCTCTTTCATTATTTAGTCACCTTGGCTCTTTTCCTTTTGTGTTTACCTACTTCTGTACCTGAGAACTTCTGTGTTTCCTTTCATTTTTATTCACTATCCTGTCTTAGAGAGTTTATTTTTAAAAGAATAAATTATTGTGGCATTGAGGAAGTCTCAAGTCAAGTGAAAAGCATAATCAAAAAGATTTTAATATTGAGGCGATACTCTTAAGTGAAATAAATAGGACATACATGTGTAAATACCAAATAGTTTCTCTAGTGTGAGAAACTGAAAGTGTAAATAAGGATTAAAATGATTAAAATGAATAATTGATAATTTGAAATAAGAAAAGGTCCAAAGATGTAGGGGTGGTGGGAGGGGAAGGGGAAAGGAAGGAACGGAAAAGAAAAATTATGAGAAAAGAAAAAAAATGGAAACGAAAGCTATATAAATAGAGAAGGGTGGAGGGAGGAAGGGAGGACAGGGAATGGGGAAAAAAATAAGAACCAAGGTACATCATGTACAGGTACAAACACCCAATGATAAATGTAAATGTATTGTATACCCAAAATGTACCAATAAAAGAATTTTAAAAAAATAAAAAAGATTTTAGCTTGTTCTTGACCATAGAGAATTTTTTTCTGTGATATGATACCTTGTGGTTAATTCTTTAGACGAAGTAGGATTTAAATTTAACCTTGGGTTAACTACTATCAAATAATGTCTTCTCACTTCTCCCTTCTTAACCCTCTTACCTATAAATATCCTCATCCTCAGACCCACACATTTAGCTACAGCTCAAAGCAGAGAACATAGTTAGGGTTCCCTTTCATCAGTTAGGCCAGTTGGGATAAGAAGGCTCAACTCCCTGTGGATCATCCACACCTTAGTAGAATTTCTAGTAATTGACACCTTGAGATACATTCTCTAATAAATCTTAAAAATGTGTCTTATAGCCAGAATTGTCAAAGATAAGGGTAAGAAATGTTTTTTTTCCCTTAAATTCCTTTATTGGTACATTTTAGGTATACAATACGTTTACATTTATCATTGGGTGCTTGTACCTGTACATGATGTACCTTGGTTTTCATTTCTTTTCCCCCACTACCTGTGTGTGCCCCTCACCCCCTCCACCCTTCCTTATTTACATAGACTTTTCTTGTTTGGTTGGTTTTGGTACAGGAGATCGAACATGGGACCTTGCACTTGCAAGGCAGGCAGCGGCACCACAGAGCTAAATCCCTAGCCTAAGTAAGAAATGTTTTAAATGCTGTTTCTCTTAGGAATTTTCTTTTTTCTGTTAGGAATTTTCATGAACATTTTTTGAGTAATCTGTTCCTGGCTTCCTAGCATTTTACCTTACTGCAAGAAAAGTTTAGGCACACAACAGCAATCTAAAAAGGGAATAAGACTTTGGCTGATATCACTCAAACGTAAAATGTAGCCTTTCAGATGATGTGGTCACCTTTTTTTAATACATTGTCAGAATTTCAAAATAAGTAAGGGATGTGGACTAGGTAAGAATTGCATGCAAATGTATTTTGCAAATAGTGTCTTTTGAGATAATTGCAGATGATGATTGAATGCTGGAGGTATTAATACAATCAGTATTTAACCTTGTATAAATTTGCTTCATGAAATCACACCCTGCATGTTGATTGCATTAAGCTGGGTCAGTGGTTTTTTTTGCTTAGGAATATCTTATAAAAATCTTAACAGTAAGGCAGCAGCAGCTGATCAGCTACTATTTATTTGCACCCTGAGCCTGTCATCAATAATAAAAAAGACAAGGTCTTTAAATTGAGAGAACAGTGGGATTGGCATGAATTTTGCTTAATGTTGCACAATGAGCCAAGTAGCTGTGATGCCAAAAACTGACAGGCCCCATTATGTTAAAACAGAGGTATATCTTTAATTTAGGGCTGACAGTTTTTTCCTTTATTTTCCTGAAGTTTCACTTTTAATTGCTCCAAGATTAATTCCTCTTTCTGTCTTCCTCTAGAAGGTGATGAGACCGGGGTGATGGATAATCTCCTAGAAGCCCTACAGTCCGGTGCAGCCTTCCGAGACCGAAGAAAGCGGATTCCAAGGAATCCAGGTAATACTAATTCTATCTCACATAGTCTTATAAAATGATAATGTTCAGAGCCAAGAACCTCCTACATTAAAAAAATGGTAATCCAGAAAGATAAAGAAACAGTCACATGAAGACCTTAATGGTTGCTCTCACTCAGGTCATGTGTGAAATTTCAGCAGGCTTCTACATCTACATGATTGCAAGTTTGAACATGGTAAATATATTTTCAAATAAATGTACACTTTGCAAAATCAGAAATATAGACTCACACTGTGTTTACTATTAAATTTTGTTTGTTTGTTTGTTTTTGAGACAGGGTCTTGCTAGGTAGTTCAGGCTGCCCTTGAACTCACTATGTAGCCCAGGCTGGTCTGGAACTCATGGTAATCCTCCCGCCTCAGCCTCCCAAGTGCTAGGATGACAGGCATGCACCACCACGCCCGGAAACTATTAAATACTTTTTAATTGTTATTATATAAACATATGGTTTAAATGAAAGGTAGTTTAAAATCATAAGTGTAATTAAATCATTAAAAATACTTGGCCCCAAGGATGTCATATTAGCTATCCATAAGTAAGGAAACTTAGACAATGCCTTTCTTAGAACATTTTGGTTTTGCAATGCAGACTATTATCTATTAGGCTTGTTCATAAAAGGAGAGACACTGATAATACAAGATTCTGAAAAATAAAGCAGTGGAACACATTTTTATGTGTGTATTTGATTAATAACAGATAAAGTAACACTATGAAAACTGATCTCAAGGAGAAAAAAAAACAGAAAAGAAGCAAAACAACCCTCCTTGTGCAAGTGGAACTAGAAAATTGCACTCCTTATCCATGCATTCACTATGGTTGAGATAAATAATAGCTTCTCTCAGGATAATCCAAGTAGGCTTAACTGTCCACCTCTTCCACATTAGGTTTTCTATTTTCAGTGTCTATCTTTCCTGAAATAGAGAATTAAGTCACGTATATTGATTTTAAAAGTCTTTTTCATGGACTGTAAAACTATATGGACAAGTAAATGAAAAAAAGGAAGATTAATAACAAATATGTAAACACAATTTAAATCAGTAAGATTTGATTGAATAGCCTGTACTTCAAAAATATTTTGTATGTGGGCAAGAAGTTATCATATATTAGTAAAATGGAAATTAGTATTTCTCAACATCATTAAAATCAAATAAACCAGTGAGAGAAATAGAATCCATTACAGAGTTGTCCAGAAAGCTTTTGGTAGTGGTGAAATTCATAACACAAACCAAAATAAGTTTTGTTCACCTTTCTCACATTTGGGTGAATCCTGATGGGCAATGGATAGATAACATTCTATCTTTGCCCTTCATGGATGGTCTGTGGAGATTAGCTTAAAAGTAAGATTTGGTTGAGAGGAGAGAATTGTTTTTGTTATAGACTGCTTTATATGTACATGAGGACATTGATGATGGCCTACAAAAAGAATAGAAAACTGGAGAAGAGATAATAAAAATCTTTATATATTCCTAATAATTTTTAAAAGTAATGTTGCATGGCAAAATGGTAGGAGCACTACTAATCTACAGCTATGAGGCTGTTATTTCACCTATCCTCAGTGTTTATCTGTAAAATGAGAATATTCTACATACTTACAACTCTTAAAGAGATTAAAAATCTTTGCTGCTTTTACTTGAACTTTCAGAGCAGTAATAGTGAAATGTTAACTGAAATCCTCTTTATAGCAATTCGGCTCTTTGTTAAGCAGTTGATAAGTAAAAGCATATTATTATGGGCCATAAAACAACTACCATAATTGTTCTACTCTGTTAATTTTAAAAATAGGCACTTTCCCTGCCTGATAAGTCTCACACCTCATAGTCATTCTAGAAAGACTAATTTGGGAGGAAATATCCCATGGGGATTTTGTGAGTTTGATACTCAAGGGAAAATAGTGTTGTCAACTGTGAAACACCAAGAATACATTCACAAACTGAATAAATTTAGAGTACTAATTCCAATCATCTAAATTGGGATCACCTTTGATTTGTAGTCTGCTTAGCTGTAGCTGTCATTCTAAGTAACAACAACCAAAGCAAGTATCCAGAAAGTAGTAGCAGAGATAAAAAGAAGTTAGCAGTCAAACAATGGCAATAATTAATTTGGCACCTGGTACATAAGTAGAACTGAAAGTGAGAGAGAGGGAATAGAAGGCACAGTTTACAAATTTGCCAAAAACCTTCTAGAAAAAGCAGAGGCAGGGACTGTTACAAATTTCTTCCTTTTTCTTGACTTTTCCTAACTAGACCATCTTTTCCTGGTAGTCCCCTATTGTTTGCACTTTCTTACCTGATTTGGTTCCTTTCCAAGATCTCCTTGATTTGGTTGCATTTCCCTGTTCAACACTGGAATCCTTGCTCTTTCTAATAACCTCCAGTTCAACATGATGAGATAAAGCAGAAAAGTAAAATAATAAAGAATGCTATTTCTTCCCAAGGAAAGGAAATAGCCTCCCTCAAAATTTCAAATCAGAGTCAACCAAAAACCTCAATGATGTACTGTTCTGCTTGCCACCTCCATTGTCATTGTTTACAGATGGAAATGATGGTAAAATGTAGAGCTCTACCACTGCTTTTCTAATTGCACTACTTTGAACCTGGTATTTAAACAAAATGAGGTAGTAGTTGGTATTTTTCATTAGAAAATCAAATGTTAATAAATAATATGATCAGCTGCTTAAATTAAAAACTCTCATATTAAGCCTGTAACCTGTACCTAAAAGCATTACATTAGTTAAATCAGAATGGACTCCCAATTATTCTGGCCCATTCAGCTGAGTGTGCTGTTTCATTTAAGAGCACCACAAGACATTTCGAGAGATACTATCAAATCAGGATTGATATTAAAATATTAATAACTAGTATAAGCTCCAGTGAGTCCGAATGTGCATAGGCAATGAACAGCCACTCTAGTTGTATTGGTATATACTGGCTGAATATTAATACAGATCATAGGCTTTGATGATGTCAAACTCAGATTAGGTAATGAGCCCCTAATTGTTCATTAATTTATTATACATCTGTTCTGTGAAAAAGCACTATGCTAGACATGATGAAGGATGCAAAAATAAATTAAATAAGATTTTCTTATTTATAAAAATCTTGTGTTTTGTGAGAATTATAGAGTACTAAAAGATTACAGAATAAGGCAGAAGATAAAAGCTATCAAACACAATGTTAATAACATACTATGTAAGTTCATAGGAGGGAGCTAACATACCAACATACCTTCTTGGATGCATCAGAAAAATAATCATGGAGGAAAAGGTTTTTCAAGATGGGAAGAGATTTCCTTAGTAGCCTTCTTGTCAAATGAAATGTCATAAAAACAGACGAAGGAAAATACAAAGCATTTTTTGGCAATATCAAATAATGCTGTAAGGAAGCAAAGAGGGTATATAAATTGTAAAAATATGAAAATAATTCTGGAAAAATAAATGGGCACCACATCATGAAGTACTAGAATGGGAAACTAAGATATTAGCATATAGTTCTTTAGGCAATGTGAATCTAATGAAGGTTTGCTTGTTTTGGGGAGGATTTTTGGTTTGTTTTTGTTTTTTAGTTTTGTTTCTTTTTCTAATTTTAATGTAATACAAGTAGGTATTAATAAAGAAAATATAAAAACAGTTCTATGAAAAGACCAGGACAGCCCTCAAGTTGCTATGTAGTCTAGGCTGGCCTCAAACTTGCCATACTTCTCCCCCAGCCTCCCAACTGCTAGGATTATAGGCGTAATCAAGGTTTTTAAGCAGTAAAAATATGATCAAAGATGTGCATTAGGACATTTATGCTACATGAGTGTAAATGATGAATTAAGAGTCTGCTGCCATATTTTTAGTCAAAGGAGATAATTTAGGGGAAGAGGAATAGCCTGGAGTCAAAAATAACTGCAGGCTTTTGAGTTTGATTGACTAGAAGGACAGTTAGGTTACTCAACTATTAAGATCAGGAAAAGGAGTGATGATAGTAGATGAGAAGATAAATTCTGTTCTGGGCAAGTTTAACTAGAAGTGGTAACATAATGTTGAAATCAAGATGTCCTGATTGTTCTTAGAAATAGGAATATAGTTTTCTTTTCTTTGGTCCTCGGGATTGAAATCAGGACCTTGCGCTTGTGAGGCAGGTGTGGTGACACTGGGCTAAATCCCTGGCCCCAGGAATATAGTTTTCAACACAAAAGGTTTAGCTTCTTGAGAATTCTGTTATAGTGTGGAAATGAAAAGATTATTAGAAGGGACTATTAAGGAAAAAAGATTCAAAGATAGAAACTTGAAAACGGTTTCATTTAAGTGCTAAAAGCAGAGCTTGCAAAGAAGATAGACAAAGAACAGTTAGAGAATTAGGAAAAGAATCCAGACATTTATCCTAAAAGCAAAGAGAGAAGGATCTTTAAGAAGGCAAGAAAGGCATTTTCAACAATGACATATTCTGTAGTAGAATCAAAAAGGATAAAGACCAATGGTTTTCCATTTGGGAGTTTTCTAGTGATTTAAGAAACATTCTTTCAATATTGTAATAAGCAATATTACTTTCAATATTCTTTTAGATTTCAGTGAACATCATTTCAATATTGTATGTAACCAAAATGTATGAGCTGTGTAGTGAGGAAATGGTGAAAGTATAGGGAAATACTTTTATTGCATGCTTCCTTGTTGCCTTATACTGGTTTCATTACTGAAATTGAAAAACCAAGCAGTATACTTGCCTCAGGGAGCTCCCATACTATTTTGGAAAATATGAATATAAACTATGTAATCAAATTATAATGGAATATTCTATCTTCTGCAGTAACACTGAAGCTAGAGGAACTTCCCCCAACTCCTCTCCTTTGTGTCCCTAGAATATAGACTATCCTTTCTAGAAGTTTGGTGGATGAAAAGGATTTTTCTTTCTTCCTTAAAAATCTAGTATTGATCTATCATCTATGATTTTTTTCTAGATCTTTATTGATGTTCTTTGCATTTGCTACCAGTTAAAGTAATA